CAGAATGGTACAGATCTGGCAAGGTGTCTGGGGGTTTTCTTGCATCGCCTGGAGTGCACTGCACTCCGAGTGTGTGGTGGGTGGATTGTGCCTACCCTAGTGCGCTGTCGTGTGGTTTTGTTAGAAGGGGCGAGGAATGTCTCTGGCAGGGATGCGATTTGCAGAGCCGCGCTGGCGCGCGGCTTGCAAAGGAAGGTGAGGATGCGGTGAGGGTGCCAAGCTGCTGCAAGCTGTGTAGTTCAATACGTTCAAGCCATTTTAAGCAAGAAGGGTGTTTCGGGCAATATGGTTGGGCACTTGCAATATCGGCGGCAATTGCGAGGAATCCGTCACGGGATTCGAACCCGTGACTAAGGGGTCACTGGCCAAGGCGTACGGATTGCGACTGACTTTACTCAGAGTCACATCAGCACCCGGCCCTTCTGATACACGAACTAGTGAAGAACAACGCAATGGCGGGCCTTCAACTCGCGCGAGCGGCGTTGTTTTCCAAGGTCTTGTCAACTGCTGGCGTGAAGACGACAGCAGTTGGCCTGTCCACAGAAGCGGAGGGCTTGCGATGAGAGGTAGCCTCTGTTCTTGCTAGTCATGCTCCATGGAGTATCAACACTAAAATTTGTTTTATTGCCGTCCTGGACGGTGAATTACCAATCTCGTCACATGAGTAAGGCCTTCTTGTGGCGCTTCGTAATAACAACCCTTCCACTGGCGGATTTTCAAGTGAACCTCAGGTCAGCATTATATGATAAACGCAGGGCGATGGGTCTCTACTAATACGTCATACACTTCTTCGGATGGCATGGGATGGGCTGCGCAAGCGACCGCTGCACGGCAAGAGAAAAAGATAAACACTTTGAAGCAGAAAGGCAAAAAAGGGCAAGAAACCAGTCCGAATATGGGTGCTGAGTGCCTTGGGGCTGTCAGTGGTTTCCCACTGCGGCGCTCGTTCAAGGCCCTTGTTTCCCCTCCGAAGCATCTGCTGACTTCAAATCGCCGATACTTTACACACGTGGACAACCACACTCTGGTTGGGGCACAGTTATTCTGCCACCCCAACCCAGCGATTGGCGCCCCACGTCAGCCAATAAGAATTCTAAGCTTCTGCAGCCGCTCCAGCAAGCAACAAGTCCACATTGTTCCTTCCTTTATTTTCAGCCGTCAAGCCATCGCTGTCTCTCAAAACCACCACCCGACCATCCCAATGTGCACCGGCGTCTGATCGGTGATCCCCAGATGGCGTCCAGATGGCACTTCCCCGGATTACCACGGGGCAACGCTGTGCCCTGGGGCACACAGCATCTGCGATCCTTGAATCCGATTGCAACAATCCGTCCGTACTTCCTTAATATGCATCAATATGATCCACATGCATCAACAAAACGCCTACGAGGAGGAGCACCCAGCACCCGTGTGATAGTACATGCCGTCTATTGTGGTGATTCCCGCATTCGGATCCCTAAGCTAATAGCTGCACACGGCACATAATATCCTGAATTGGTTGAGCCCCAATCCTGTTCAAGCTGCAAACACTGCTATTATTGTTCCAGCGCCCATGTCGTCATCCCAGCCGTATGTCTGCAGCGCCATTGCTCATTTCAGTAAAGTGAATGCTGCCACTGGCCACGTGAGAGCCAGGTGCGAAGCGAGTGCTGCCGTGCAGCCTCTTCTCGTTTCGGTGTCGGCATTCCGTGTGCCTCCGTCTCCACAGGTTGATGAGCATTCTATAGGCGTCCAAAGAATAACTATCTTGGTGTCATTCGTTCAAAATTGGCGCCACGACTCCACGACTACTCGCCGATGCGTTCGTCGTCGGAAAAACAAATGGAAGGAAAACAAATTCATCCCAAAAGAGACAACAAACGCTCAATCTCCCAAGCCACGCGATGCTAACTCGGTACCTTCACGTCGTCAGAGCGTCTCAATGTGGTGACGGTTGGCCAGCAGATATGACACAGACGGCGCAAATTCTGCCTACATCACCCCAGGAGTGCCCTGACTTCTATGCACAGTCGCACGGTCGACAACGCTCTCAGCAACAACCCCCTGCGGCGTCCTCCACCGATCCCACCTCGTCCACCTCCGCGCATCTCCGCTTCCAAGTCCGCATGCATCCCCGCATCCGTGCCAAAGCTTCATGGACCCCGACGTCCGCGACAAGTCCTCATGGATCCCAACGCCCGCTTCCAAACTCTCATGTACTCCCATATCCATTACAATCCTCATGTATCCAGGTATCCATGAGGATCCCTCGCCCCATGGGGTGGCTGTCCGACCTGTGGCTCGTCGAATTCGCAGGAGGCGTGCTCCCGTGCCAGGGACATCGCTCCGGGTACCTTGGGCAGGCAGCGCCTGACCAGCAGCGGCATCAGCGGCGCGGTGCCCCTCATGGCGCCCTCCAGCGCCTCCATGGCGTCGCTGGGCGCCCTGACCATCAGCAGCAGCGCCAGGGGCTCCGGCAGCGCCCTGCGCCACGAGGCGGCTGTCCGCTGCGAGCCGCTGGCCAAGACAGACAAGAGAGGACACGGTTGTGATTGCCACATTTCATTGCCTCCTTTAAACCATTTCGTTTGGTGTTTCAACGCGTTCATGCAGTATATGCCTCCCTGGAAGGCGCTGAAGCAGGGCTTGCAGTGCTGCAGCACATGCGCTGTAGGCGAAGCCATGTACATGTACATGGATTCGAAGCAATTGCGTAACGCTCAATGTCGCCACCAATATTGTGCGAAAGGGAGCTGGAAATTCGGGTCAACATAACACAGTACGATATCGTTTAATGTGGTCCACACATTCAATGGACGACTTGGCTCCATGCTGACACAATTTGGACGCAGTCAGAACCGTGTGACATGAGAAAATTTTCAATCCTGTATAAAATTAGTGACGTTAGAGACTTGGGGGGAATATATTTCCCGTTGTCCAATGCGCTGGTGTGCGTATTACTTCTGCAAAGCTTGCGGCATTTCAAGAGCGCCCGAAAATATCGTGAATGGTCTGAAATAGAGCATTTCGGTTCAATTCTGGAATTAACTCAGCGGCCGCCGCGCGCCTCTCACCTGGCGCCCCCGTGCCCGGAGCGAGATGCGGCAGCGGTGGGGAAACTCGACAGGCGCAGGTTGTAGGGTTTGGCCATGCTGGCGGTGCTCAGGATGGGCCACAGCTTGTTGAGGTAGATGAGGTAGAATGGCCTCAGGATGCACCTTGCTATGTTGTGCCGTCGGGCGCCAACGTTCGACACAAATTGGCGCCGCAGCAGCGCCCTTTCGCCGCCCGCGTCTACGAGACTCCACTGCACCTGCGAGCAGAATGCGCGCCACTGCGCTGATGAGTTCATGAGCCGCTGCGCACTGCCTCGTGTGTTCGCGCTTTCTAATAATGTTTTCTGGAACAGGAGAATGGAACAGGGGTTAATTTCCAGAGTCAGTGGTCAAACATCGTCCAAAGTACTTGATCCTGAAAGTCGCTTATATTATGTTATACGTTATGCATGTGAAAGTGGTGTAAAAACTGTGAAAACATCGTGTAGCAATTGTGCATTGATCACAAAATAGAAGGCTACCGCTGGTACACGGTTCAAATCGTGTAAAACAGTGTTATTTATTGCGTTGTCCATAGTGGTAAGGTGGGCCACTTCTGTGTATTACACAGGGCGGAAAACTACACGATTTTAGCAATCGTGTCAAATCGTGCTCCGAAGTACCCGATTTTGCCACGATTTTAACACGGCTTCACACGATTATACACCGTATAAAATGGTCGAATTTTTACCAGCAAATGGGTGCACAAAACGAAACATTGATGTCAGGAAGGATTCGCGATCCTCTGTGGTGAACCAGTCCAGTGTTGCCGTTTGACGAACAACATGCGTTGCTACGCGGATGCGCATATCATTGAGTGTTTGCGGAGCTGACAAGCTTCACAAGGTGGTGGCCACTTTCATTAGCGTGGCCCTGCAGCCCATTTGCGGCACATGTCATTCATCGCATACGGCGCTGAGTTGGCTTGCCGCTCTGGTCGTAACGAATTTTTTTTTGTGGCCATTGTCCTTTTTCATACAATTGAAAGTAATTAAAACATGTCCACTGGATCCAAGTACACTCACCTGCGATCCCACCATGTGCCCGTCGCTTTCCATGACGACCTCCCAGTTTCCGGCCACATGCTGATTGACAGCGTCCACAGCGTCCTGACCGCGCTCCGGGTGCGCCAGGCAGTACGCGCGCAGGAGCTGCTCGTAAGCCCGCAGCAGCACCTGTTTTCAATCGGTCAACCATCCAATTAATGAGTGATTGAACAGAAATAAATCAGTAAGTCAAATACTCACTCAATCAATCAACCAATCGATCAATCAATCAATCAATCAGTCAATCAATCAATCAATCGATCGATCGATCGATCGATCGATCGATCAATCAATCAATCAAACAATCAGTCGATCAATCGATCAAATAAATCAGTCGATCAATCGATCAATCGATCGATCAACCAATCAATCAATCAATCAATCAATCGATCAATCAATCAATCAATCAATCGATCAATCAATCAATTAATCAGTCAATCAGTCGATAAATCGATAAATCGATCGATCGATCGATCAGTCAATCAATCAATCAATCAATCAATCGATCAATCAATCAATCAATCAATCAATCGATCAATCAATCAATCAGTCAATCAGTCGGTCAATCGATCAATCGATCGATCAATCAATCAATCAATCAATCAATCAATCAATCAATCAATCAATCAATCGATCGATCAATCAATCAATCTTCACTCGATCGATCAATCTACCGTTGAAACAATCGTTTGGTATCAATCATGTGGACTCCCACGCATCCATCCATCCAGCAGTATGGTAAATACGACGTTGTTCTGTATCTTTTATGCACTTTAAATTTCGGGCATAACTGCAAGAAACACAAATGCAAGAAATTTCTTACGGGATGGCATTTTCGGAAAATCGCACGATGCCACGTGGCATGCTTTTCCACGGACCAATATCAAATAAATGCATCCAACGACAATTGCTGACGTCAAGCTAATCCTCAGTGATGCCGAACATCCCTTTTCCTGTGCACATTTTGTAATGAATGCTTCAAGAAGCACGATATGTATTTCGCTGGACAACATTGGGCAAAATATTCAGTACCATTTATTTATTACCTCATTTTTAGCACTCGTTTGTATGCAGAATGTTAGGAAAACATATGATTCCATTGGTTTCGAAAACGCGAAATGGGATGTTGTGTAGTTTTACGTCATATTTGGTATGAATAGAACCGGAAACACTATTCAAAGATGTTGACTATTCTATTCATTTCAGATCTGGGATTCCAGATATGGAGGCTTCTAGACGGTTAAGTTCGCGCCATCTTCGATGCTCTGCAAACTACAGTACAGTTACTTGTTGAAAACGTCAATTTTGGCCCTTTAACTCACAGCACGTTGTCGTTTCATGCCCCAACTACTTCTAGCACCTCTTTTCCACCGAATGTTTCCATTAACTCGTTAAAAATATAAGCAATAACCGACAAAACCGACAAAATAATGACAGAAGCTAAATCTTTACAGATCGGAGCAAGGTGGTGGCCGTCAGCTCCCTTCCTGAAAAACGCAAGCTGCATCAACAGTCTATCCAGCGGGAACCCAATGTGCTGCATCGGTGCAATCCACAATCCACAATTTCCCTGATTTTCAAGAACACATTTTCGTTTGCTTCAGCGTGCCGGTGGTCTCCCCACCTTTGGCGCCCCGATCTTGTACATTTTTATCAGCCCCCTGGAGGCGTGGGACTGCACGTACAGGAAGCCGAACACGAAAGTCCACGTGTCAGCGGCGTCCCTCCACCGTCGGTTGCAGTATCCGGCATTGCAGAGGGACACCAAATATCCTCCCGCGGCGCCCAGGAGGTATTGCCAGGCGGTAATGGCCGTTTGGCTGTCTCGGGTCCTGTACAACTGAGAAATACAACGGGCAAAAATGTTAGCCATTCTGAAAGCATCGTTGTTTGTGCAATCACACTACAGGACAACGCCATTTCGGGGATGTTGCCAGTATAATTTGCTGGCGATATCATTGTGATGGCATTTTATGGTGCCGAAATGGCATCATGTTGGCATCGCCAAGCTGTAATTCTCCTTGTGTAATGGGTGTGGGAATGCTCCAGAGCATAACGCCGACGTAGATGAAAGGCTATGGGGAACGTGCTGTGGCGTCGGCGGAGGCGAAAATGGTCCGAAGCTCGAGCAAAAGGGGCATTGGGGGTCCCCACGAGAACAGCCCAATCCTGGGAAGTTTCTGATAAAGGGCGCCATTTTAGGAGCTCGCAAGCGTTTCAAACCTTCTGTTGATACATGTTGCAAATATGGGGCGGCAGATCTTTTTATACAAGTTGAGATGATGGCGGCATTTCTTTCTGCTCGCTTTTCGGTCATTTCAGTTATGGAGAGGGGCTCAACTACCCCCTGGACTCTCGCCCAAACCATTTACAAAATGAGAGGACGCCGATAGCCCCTGCCGAAACATTGTTCTGACATTGCCAGCCGCGACTCTATTTGGAAGCCAAGTGCGCCGTCATAGCGATTTCAATGAATGCATAAACAGACCATCACTTTCTCACCATGTAGACAGTTTCGAAGTGCCACAGGGAGAGAGGGGAGTCGATCCCCTGCTCCAGGATCGCCATGCGACTCCAGTGAGTCACCAGGCCGCACGCCACGATGATCGGAATGTTCCAGACAGGCGGCCCAGAGATGCAATAGGCCCCGTGGAAGCAGTTGACAATGGACAGGCTCAACAGCAATCCCATCGCCAGCCAGTGGGCGCAGGCTACGAGGAGCCGCTTGCAGCGCAGCGCCAGGCCGCCCGTGGCCATGAAGGATGTGAGAATTCGAAGCATCCAGCCACACTCCCCTGCCAAACACTGAACATTTTCACCATCATGTTGTCAATCTTATATCCTGAGCGCAATCATGTCGATTGCATCCGCCAGGAAAGCAAGAGCAGTGACTTGGATATGGTTCGTGTATTCACTGGAGGATGCGCACCTGATGACAAGACAGATGACGAGCGGATAGAATGAACGGATTCAATACGCGAAAACATACTTGGGTGTATACACGTGTGTATACATCAATCATCGCCTAAAAGGCGCAAGGTTCGTCTTGCGGCAGTCCATTTAGAAGGGATTGAGGAAACGAAGTAATAAATTCTATCCAGATCGTTTGTTCCGGAGTTTCGCTTGACGTCATCGCGCGCATGTTTCGTTACGCTGCATGTTCACAAGTTTGTGTCTAGTGGTATGCGCAAACCCTTGTGCCAATAAAACCGGGGAGAAGCTCCCAATCACCTGTCTCTTTGGGTACTGAGAACATGAGATCTCATGCGGTGATCTTAACAACGCAAGCTGCGTGAAACATTAACTCAACACTAATTTAGTGTTGGTTTAAAACCAACTGATATAATCAATATAAAGAGAACGCCTTCTTTATTTATCGGCAGGTTTTGCATCGCCCTGGTAAAGGTTGAATGCCACCAGCGAATTTTTCGTATCGCAAATAAAAAATCGACCAAAGTGCACGGTTTTGAACTAGGCAAAAATCGTGTAAACCGTGCCAAAACGTGTAGAAATCATGTAAACTCACTCAATCGTTACTACGCAGTTTAGTCCCATTTTATACGATAAGTACACCATGTAACACGATTCTTACACGATTTTCAATGTTGCTATACGGTACACGATTTAGAAACCGTATATTTTGGCTTGCTTTCTACCAGCGCTTATTATGAAAGACTCATCACAAAAGTAGTTTCATGAAAAGGGACTTGCACAACATCAACCTGTTCTGTCGTGGTCCTCGTTCCTTAGCCTGCCCGATCTGCTTCTCCTTCCCATCAACGGAGACACCTCAATGCGAATCGCGTCGAGGCCGGCTGACGCAAACGGACCGCTCTGCTGCTGCACCCTGGCCCCGTGTTTTGCGCCCTCGGGCCTCTCCCGACTGAATACGAAATCCGCGGCTGCTGGGGTGGTGCGCCAGCGGTCCAAGGGAACTGGCACAGTGCGTTCAGAAGTCAATTAGCAATTTTGTGAGAGCTGCAGCGGTTGCACATTCATTGAGTCATTGGGTATAATTTGTTCAAAAGCATGCTCTACCGGGAAGGCACTACTTTGGGACAACGTACAAAGAAATGTCCGTTCATCGGACTTACCTTCAACAGCATTGAATTGGCGGGCGATCTTCCAGCAAATACAAAATGCATTCACACAAGGTACGCCAGGCCATTGATTGCTGGAGCCAATGTGAGCAATTGGTTCTTGAAGCTAACAGCCGAAAAACACCAACCACCGTACTCTTGAGCAAATTTCCTGGTTAATATTCATATTGCAAGCGTTATGCCAAACACCATTGGCCAATCAATACGCTACTGACATCCTAAAAGTGTAAAGCTTTCACGCAATTTTTGGAAAGGCTGCTTGATTTGTTGATGTGAGGTAACCGCTATTAAAGCGCCAAGCATTGTAGTGGTCTTACCTGATGTACTGAGGGCAAGCAAACTGGATAAATTTCTAGGACACCCAGCCCACAAATGCCGTTGGTGCCTCAAGTGCGCACCAACAAGTGTAAACGCCCTTTGCTCGTTGCACGAGGCATCTACGAGATGCCTTATGCGAGTCGGCTGTCCATCAAGAGGCCTCCGGTTCACCCGAAACTAGAATATGGAGGGAAGAAACAGGGAATGAGTTTGCAAGCGCAGGTTGACTTCTCTGCTGCACTACAGGCGAAAGCACACGTTTCATGTGCTTACATCTGCACTCCAGAAGGTTATGGTATAAGCAATTTGCGATTTACGATCGAAAATTGTGCATTAAATCATATTCTCCTCGCAAGTGGCGTTGCGAAAACGACCGGAGGACAACATACTTGTGCTTTTTCTCAGCGCAGGTCCCTGGCGGCTAGCGGAGAAGCAAAGGGAGCACAGCCGGGCTCCACAATTTGGTCCTTCTGTAGCGCATTAATGTACAATATTGTACATCGCTGGCGCAGCAATTTCGGAGAATGGGCACGGTTCAGGAGAGGTGTTGAGAAAGGAGGAGATTGTGGAATATCCGCATGTACTCGGTGCGCCAATGCACCTGCGTTGCCGATCTCTCTATCTGGAGGCAACTGCGTTTGGGGCACGTCCTGGCCGTACCATAGTATATTCAACCCGTTCGCATTAAACAATTTCATCGTTACGCTTTCGATCCTCATTTTTTTCAGATTTCAGATTTTGTAAGTACCGGTACTGCGTATTGCGTCGATGCGACCGTTTGAATATACACGACCAGTCCAGATGTCGGGCCTTCGGCCCGACGTTGTGCTCTTTTTCGTTCCTAGCTTGTTACGCACTAAAGCCCAAATGGCTGGGTTGCTCCGTCGATGTTCCTAATTCCACGCCAATTAGCTCAGCACGTCCTTGGCTGTGTCGTTTGCCAACGTCGCTGCTTCCAGGGCTGCGCAGCAGCGTCGCGAGAGCTCTCACCAGCCATGCGACCCGAGGAAGCCTTTCTGCGGGCATCCCGTTTCTACCTGCGCCACTGGTAGAAAACATCCTGTTTGCGATGCCAGCTGCGATGCCATTTTGACACAAATTGATGCCGTCACGGTCAGTGCAATGGCATAAAAAGGGATGTGATGGCATCAATTTGTGTCAAAATGGCATCGCAGCTGGCATCGCAAACAGGCTGTTTTCTACTGGTGCGCGTTTGCATGGCACGCCACCGCTGCGGCCGCCTTGGCCTCAATCGACGCGAGGGCCCCGCATCGCATGCGACGATCCCGGCCTGTGATTGTCACAATCTGGGCGCTGTGGTCGCGATGGCGGAAATCTACAGCCCACCCCGTGCTCGCGCTCAGGTACGCTCGTCGGTCCGGTGGCTAGCCACACCTCCGATCTCAGCAATGGTAACGCCATCGACTCACTGCTGGGCCCGGGGGCCTCGACGCATGGCCTCGTGGGGGTGGTGCCTGCCCCGCGTGCCGACATCGACGTGCCGGCAAAAAATGCTTCAGGGACACGGAACCGCTCCGTGGCCCGGCTATAGCCCACGCATTGGGCTGCAACCTCGACCGTTGAGTATCGCTGTTGCAGCCGTTGGTTGATCCATACGCCTTTTCCGTGCAACGTCTCGGTTCGCATTTCCTCTCGCAACCAGTCTAATCCTCAGCCATTGCTGGAGCCTGGCGGACATCGATGCAAGGCAATGTGCCCCAATTCTCAGGCCTCCCCTCCCTGGCACGGCCATCGCATGCATCCCGGGATCGCCGCCCATTCCACCATCCGCCCCAAAAGCCCGAACAAGATCGATCGCACTCCGCGTCGTCGTCGCCGCTCCTATCGCTTTCGAAACGCGCAACTGCACACCTCGGGAGCCGGCGCGCGGTTCGGCGAGGCCCTGTCCGGGATTCCACCATCGCCGTCGGCCCCATAAACCAACGCTCTGGGGAGCGCCGCAAACACGCGGGATCGGCGCGGGAATGTCGGCCAGGGCGCAAGCGGGCACCGCCCATCAAAGCCTCGACAGCAACAGCCGCGCCCTTCTCGCCGGCCACCCTCCAGCAGCGCCCCCCCCTCCAAAGCCGGGAGGCAGCCCCACGCCTCGCGTACCCCCCGTGTCATAGGGGTCGATTATTATGCAAAGATTCCGACGTGGATTTGCTGAAACGCATTTCCTCTCTGGTTCGGGTTACGTGCATATTGTATAAGACCTCCGGTCGCAACGGGGTCTGTCACGGTGCGCCCCGCCTGCCCCTGACGCATATCGCGTGTTTGGTCCACCAGCCCACATCCTGCTGTCACCACGTTCCGCCGTGGTTCCTTGCCAACCTCCCCGCCCACCGCCCCAGAGGCTTCCCGCCAAAGCGCCTCAGCGACGGCGCGACGGGCGTCGGGTCCTCCACAACCGATCAGAGCACCTCTTGGGGAGTGGGCACGGACGCGAAAGACACTTGCGCGCATCCAACCGTGACTGTCCGTGGAATTAGCGCACCAACCGGCAAGGACCCATGGAACACACCCTGCTCACCGGCTCCCCAGCCATCACCTGCGGTGAGCAGCATGCTGGTCATGTCGCAGCATGATTCGCGGTCGGACGCGTGCCGGCCGTCAGCAATGACAGTGCCAGCCTGCGGGTGTCCCACTGCGCCCGAACACCTCTTGGCTTCCCGAATTGGCCATGGAGAAGAGGGTTTGGGCTTCCTGGGAAGGAACCAGGCTACCGGTTCCTGCGCTATCGCCAGCGATGACCAACACCGACTTCGATTGTGCCCGAAGCCTTGTTCGCTTCACACAGCGCCGGAGCCACTCCCGCGCCCTCGCCGACGACACTACTGCGTGGGAACGGGACGGGTGGGAACCCTGGCAGTAAACAATCTCCGGCCACCGGTTCCCTCGCCATCGCCCGTGATGAGCACCAATGCCACCTTGTGGGCGTCCGATGGCGCCCTGTAACTTCTTCTGTTCCCACAGCTCCAGGGTTCGCCCTCACCTGGCAGCGACGCGGCACCCCGCGACCCCGTCCTCCCTTCGCTTCCCCCGTCGCCGCCGCCGGCCTCCCAGCACGGCAGCGACAGGCTGCGCGTGCATCCCCAGCCCCGCTCCCTCGCCGCCATTCCCAACTGGGGATGATGCCATGCGCCGTGCCGCTCCCGGACGGCCTCCCCACCGCGCGGGCCCGCGGGCCTGGCTGGGGGGCAGCCCGCCCAGAATGGCGTTCGCCTCGCCGTGCTGTGCACCTGAATCGATCCAAGGGGTGCCGAACGCCCAACAGAGGGGGCCGGTTGGCCACGGCGAGGACTGAGAAGTGTGGGTGGGAGGGGAGGAGGGGAGAGTCCGTGGGCGTGAGGTGGAGGGGGGGCGGGGAAAAATGGGGAAGGGGGGCGCTTCGACGGAAGTTCTGCGGCTCGCCGGGTCGAAGTTTGTCGCGTCGGTGGCAGGGAGGTGTCTCGTCATGCCTACGTGACGGAAATGTGTTGCATGCAGTTCAGGCCGCGGTGTCGCGCGCCTTGGCAAAAGCGCATCGCAGTGGATTCGGTGACGGCACTACCGTCGCAGCATCGCATGCCACAGGTGGCACGTGGCGCGGCCACCGGGCCCCAGGACGATTTCGGACCAGCCGGTCCTCCGCAGCGGTGTCCCTTTTGTCTTCGCCTGATTCAGGGTTGATATTTACGGCGTAGACAGCTTTCTATTTACAGTTATCTACTCGTAAAAGTGGTTTTCACGTTTTGACGCATAAATGGGCATAAAGATGGGTCCTATGTACTTGAAGACAGTAATGACTCAGGAAGTCCAGGAAGTGGCAGCTAGATGCAGGGAAATCAGATCAAAACGATCTTCTGCTCGACGACGTCGTTGCCCTTGCAAAGGGCGAGGTGGACGCTGTGTTGCCTGTACTCCAGGACTTTGAGAACCCCTCATTGCTTGGGACATTATCATGTAATCTGAGCGTGCCGACAAGCCGTCATATGGCCGCGAAAATGACCGTTTCTCCGTTTGCACGTGAAAACGTAGAAGCTAAAATGGAGTCGTAAACTTGAATTACAAGTCTGGCCTGATGTGCGAGATGGACGCGGACGGTCGGCCAATTTTCCCATTTAAACAAAAACTTGACGATTTCCCGTTTGAGCGAAAATATTCGTGGCCCACCCACCCCTGAAGCAACCCAAACTTTAGGTTGAAATTTTTATGCAGGTGGAAGTCCCCACTGCTGGGCACAGTCATTGGACGATGTTGCATTGCTGTTGGATGCCAACCGCCTGGTGTCATCGCGAGGATAAATCATTTAGGGAAGTTCCTCAGACTTAACAATACCTGGACGCATCCATCTTCACCAAAAATGTTCCAATATTAAAAGTATACGAACATACGTCACGAAATAGGCGATCGGCCACTGTTAATAGTACCTGTGCATAACCTGTGCATTGCAGTCAATGTGTTGCTGCAGCACTGGCAATGTAGGATGGCAAACAGCGCCTCGTCGTCATCGAAGGCAGGGATACTCCTTTTCCAATGCAGTTCCGCTTCTTACGTGAGAGGAACGTGCATGGGGCAACCTGGTTACCGGATATGCGAAGTACAGCGGAGAAATACCAGAATGCAAAAATTGATACCTCCTGTCCGCCCCAATGACTCAAATCGAACCCTCCCATGCTGGGTCGATGCAGCCAGGTGAAGAATACAGCAACTTCTGGATTGTTCTGAGGATCCTCGAAAGTGTTCGGCAATGCACCCTCGTCGCATGCCAAGATGCATCAAACAGGTTTATCAGCTTGTTATATTTAGACATCCTCATTGGCGACAAAATTGTCTATAGCGCCACAACGGAGACTTAACAGAATGTCCACAGACCCAGCCTCACTAATTTCCGAACTAAGGAACTCCTTCAATGAAACGCAGTTACCGAAATACCGGAAAACTATTCTACAGTGCCAATGACGCGCTTGGGCGCGTCCAAGCCGCTAGGAAACAGTACGGGCGGCCCCTTTTCCCGCAGTGTAAACTTTTGCATCTCGTTTCGCAGTATTTCTCGTGCAGACATCTATTGCGCATTTGATCAACTTCAGCGAGGGGTCCAATCTGGTGTCGCCACGTGCAAAAGCTGACAACACTGACGTCCCAATCCAGCATTGCAATGGAAAGACCGTACGCATCCTGATGCCTGAATCAGTTAGTGGCACGGCGCCACAATTCTGGACGTTCGTGGTCTTCACAGTTATGCCAGAAGTCTTGCTCCGAAAGCTACAACCACACAATTATGGTAAAGTGATTATGGTACAGCTGCGGATGGCGATAAAATGCGAGTTCCATTGGGGCCGGGATGTAAAGGGCGATGTCGATCAGATCGATCTGCACTCGAGCATGGGTTCTCAAGTCAGTCATGAATCGCTGCGTCACCTACTGTACCGCGCGATGTTGATGTGGCTGCGTTTCTCTTCATTCGCGGTAGCCACAAGCACAGAACGATTCACTGCCAGGAGAGTAATTTTTACGCAAAACTGTGCGCATCGCCGCACATCGCTCAGTTGATAAATTGCGTTAAAACGACTCCAATTTTGGATCCCAACCTTGAAGGTTGGGCAGGCATGAGTGGTGGCCGCGCGCAAGGGTCTGCCACTCGCCCGCTTGACATGTGTGCCGAAGGCAGGCAGTTTTACACCTACTGGTGGGGCCCTACAACCAACCCTCATATGTGAGGGCTGGTGGTAGGGGGCCCTCCAGCCAAAGAACGGGGCGTATATGCGCGATGGATCGGGAAAGGGGGACAAGCTCAGGTACAAGGATGTACGTGGTAGGTGGCTTTGTGCGTGTACCTCGTACCCTTTCAAGACCTATCTTGCTTCCATGCGGAAACCTGGCACAGAGGATATTCAATCATTGTAGAGTGGCGGACGGTGGAATTCGGTGGCGACCCATCACTGCCCAGAATATTCGGTCCAGTTGAAGCACCGAATCTGGCACAAGCACCCCCTGCAAGATGGTCTGATCATTTCATGAGGACACGCGAATCTGCACCCTGCCAGTAATTCAGCGACTTGAAGATTCAACGGGCCACGTGGTCCATTCCTGGAGCCGCGATACGAGCGGGTTGTGGAAGGCTCTGGAGCTGTCGTATTCAGACGACATATGGCTGGAGTGTGACTGGTGTACACTGATCAGTTCGCGCCAATAACAAGGGCGCTCGCGAGCACCCTTGCAGCACAGCAGAGACATTCGGCGGGAAGGGGCAACCCAGGCGCCCAAAGGGGTGACCCCCCCGCGCCGACTACCCACGACAGTCTGCCGTCAGGGCCAGTCCAGTATTCCTCCGGGTCACCGTACATGAGAGTGCCTGTGAGGGAGATGGACCACAGGGGCGCGTCTGTGGGGTGAGAAGGCGGGTTTATCTGGCCGCTTCAGTTCGGATTGTAGGGCAGCGTGGGTTCCTCCTGGGGCCACAAACCGGACGGGTGTTGGAGCATCTGATACACCGTGACGGGCTGGAGTGTGACTGATGTGAGTGAGCTGCAGGTAACACAATTGAGCCCGTTAGCAGAAAGTGACCCGGGAGGTCGAAGGGGTGCTCCCGACCACCTCGCCTGACAGCCTCCCGTCAACGCCCCTCGAATATTCTACCATCCGCCAGCCCTCGAGAATCTCTGTTGACGGGACGGGTTAGCTGCTCCCCCGCGTCGGCGCGCTGATGTGATTCCGGTGCGACATGATGGGTCGTTGGTGAGCGTGTGAACTCGGTTGTAGGGCCGCGACGTGATCCCTTTCAAGTCAAAGCGCATCAGCGGGTGGCCCCCGCGGCCCATATAAGCCCCGCCTGCGCTAACCGCAGCGCGGCGGGCTTCTGGCGTTCCAGTTCCAGGCGTCCAGTGGCAGCCAACGAGCGGAGTAACCACCTCTGGGCACTCCGCAAGCTTTCCAGCCGTCTTGAGTCGACAGCCCTGCCGGAATGGAATGCAAGACCCTCGCGCTGTTGGCGCTCGTGGCCGTCGCGGGGACGGTCTTGGCCTCGATCCCAGCCGCCGATGCCGCCAGAGGAGGTGAGCAATCTTCTTCGGCTGGGGTGGTTCTGTCCGTTCTGTCCGTGGCCCGGAAGCGCTCGCGGCCATGACCGCTGTGTTCGGTGTCGCTGCACGATTAGGAGCGTAGCGTTGTCCGCACGCAACGGAGGGGAACCCCACGCTTTTCCTGCAGCTGTGGATCGGCGGCCGATGCCTTTCAAGTTTCTGGCTTTGGGGCCGGCTGGGCGAACGCCAAGGTGTGCGCGCCGGGATCGATCCCTTGCGGTGCGAGCATGTGGGCTGGACCACATGTTCTGGCCAGATTCCTGCACTGCGGAGAAAAGGACACTGGCCCTAGAAAACCTCCTTTCCCATTGCTCTGTCCTTTCGACTGTTGCGTCGTTTGAAAGCCAGGCGAAACTGCCCGCTGACAGCTCGCGGCGACGCCCAGTCAGCGCTCGTGTAGCCATTGGGCGACTTGTCGATGCCGTCTCGTGCGCTTGGAACATGGATTGCGTGTGGGCTGCCTCTGCGAGAAGTCTCACACTGTTCTGTGCTTGGATCCTGGCGGTGCTCCCGACCGTTTGAAGGCGCCAGATGGCAGATTGGCATTCAGAAGCTGCCACTGGCACGGTTGTCGCCATGGGGTAGCCCCCGCCGTCAATCTTCCCAAGCAATTGGATTGCCCCCGTTGAGCACGCGACACCGCGCGGCTTGTTTTGGAGGCGGCGTTCTATCCAGCCGGCCGGCGCGGACGATCGCTAGCGTGGCCGGGTGCACCTTCGTCGCCCTGAGCTATTGGCGTTGACGTTTTGGCATCACGTGGTCGCGTGGGGAAGGCAGCATCTCGCGATGACCGGCGAATCACATGCTGACCAGGATTGAAGGATGCTCTGTTCCGTCGGATGTAGGCATAAAATTGCTCCCCGTTCTTGTTTGCTGAATTACGGTTCTTGTTTTCGGACACCCTACACCCCAACTACTGATCCACGCACTGGGACTGGCCTTGTCAGCGGAACAAGAATCGAAATTCAGCAAACAAGAACGGGGAGTAATATATTCTCTCGGATGTGTGAGGCCCGCGGCTCCGACATGGTCTGGTTTTGGGTGCTCTTACTACACCCCACAGCGGTACATGGGGCCCTGTCGACAAGTGCGGTGAACCATTAGCATTGAAACGGGTGACAGCCAATTACGTGTGAGCTGTCCAGTTCGCCTGCCCTCTACGCCTGTTCACACTCGGGGGAGTAAATGGACAGTACCTGGACAAATGGACAAATGGCCAAATGCAGACATCTTTCTATGGCAGAAAAGACGCTGACCTTCCTACCTGCAAAATCTATTTTCACCCTCGCTTGCAACACGCGTCCAAGCGGCTGGATGCCATGCCCGGCAGTTCTCGCTCTTCGTCTGGTCAGATGCATCCCATATGGGCCTGCGTTCGGCGGCAACTTGACACTACTCTTTCCAGTCGACGTTGGCTTTCCGGCCAAGATGGACTTTCACTGTTTTCTCGTGAGATGGCGCTTGCAGCATAGCCAATTTCGACCGGTTATTGCCAATGTGCATAAAGCGTCGAATAAAGAAAGTATACATAAAGTACATGAAACATCAAATGAAATATATAGCAGCCCGAATGGTGGTGGTATCCATCATGCTTTCATGGGATTCTATGTCGCTGCTAGTCGTCAAGTATCATGGATCGCACCCACGATTTCACCGCTATCAACATCTTCTCCTTCAGTCTACTATTGCCTGTCCTTGTGGAATGGGATTGGCAAGAACTGCCCAGTCATGCCGTTCCTGCCCTTGCCAAAACAATCTGCGCTGGCGCCATTAAATGGTCAACATTTGATTGAATTTTGGCACAAATCTCACTCCCACTCAAACATCACCTACATCGTTGGAATACAAGGTTCAGTAGCTATTGAAGACTCTGACATGTCGCGCAGGCTCTTTGGTGAGCACCAAAGATGGTGCTGTCGGGAGCGCCACCCTCGAGGACGCTCTCCAGCTGCCAGAAGATGTCTCTGAAGCACACGCCAGCCTGAGGTACCGTCACCTCTTGGAAGACGACGACGGCGACGACGAGGACGAGGAAGACGAGGAAGACGACATGGACGATCGCCGTCGCAAGCTCATGGAAGAAGATGACGAAGATGATGAGGATGATGAAGACGACGAGGACGACGAGGATGACGACGTGGATGATCGTCGCCGTAAGCTCATGGAAGAAGATGATGAAGATGATGAGGATGACGAAGACGACGAGGACGAGGACGACGAGGATGACGACGTGGATGATCGTCGCCGTAAGCTCATGGAAGAAGATGATGAAGATGATGAGAATGACGAAGACGACGAGGACGAGGAGGACGACGACGTGGATGATCGTCGCCGCAAGCTCATGGAAGAAGATGATGAAGATGATGAGGATGACGAAGACGACGAGGACGACGAGGACGACGAGGACGACGAGGACGACGAGGACGATCGTCGTCGCAAGCTCATGGGAGAAGATGATGAGGATGACGAGAATGACGAGGACGACGAGGACGACGAGGACGACGAGGACGACGACGTGGATGATCGTCGTCGCAAGCTCATGGGAGAAGATGATGAAGATGATGAGGATGACGAAGACGACGAGGACGAGGAAGACGACGACGTGGATGATCGTCGCCGCAAGCTCATGGAAGAAGATGATGAAGATGAGGAGGATGACGAAGACGACGGGAACGATGAGGACGACGACGTGGATGATCGCCGTCGCAAGCTCATGGGCAGGCGATCGCTGTACTAGGATGACAAAACCGACATGGAATCGAGATGGGAGCTGTGGCTTGCATCAATTTCGATGAATCTACCCATTCAGCTTAATGTGGTTTAGCAACTAAGTTAAGTTGCACGAATAATAACTCAAAATTCATACCATCGGCCTATTCAGCAATGTGGTCTGGTGGAACTCACATGTATTTTTCAGAACTCACATGTACTTTTCATTGTACATTTTTATGACTCTGGTTTGACGGCACCATGTGCTTCGTTTCCACAATTGTATTGACATATGATTTTGGATGTTTTACGGCAATCTTCCGGACTTAGATTCATGGGATACGTGTCTTTCGCCATCTTAGGTGAAGGTGAATACGGCCACGACGAGTTTATTTACTTTGGGCTGGAGATTTATATGGGAACCATGATGCTACCAGTTTGACAAATCTAATTTAAGAACATGCGGCAGATGTTGCCGGGGCATGTAATTTCTGATTTACGACTTCCGCTTGTGTCTCTTTACCCCTTTCATTCACATGAAGCATGTGTGCCTGCGTATTGCCGCTTTTCCGCGGCCATTTTAAATGTGTCTCCTAAGCAAATAGTGGTAGAAAGGCGATGAGAGCAGCTGCGCAGAAACGCTTCAGTATGGAAGTATTAACGCTGTTCTTGCAGTTCAATTTCAATGGTACAAATCTAGTAGTGTTCTAGTGCATTCGCTTGTGCTCGAGCTTAAAAAACGCTTTATGTGACTGTTACGGCATTACTGTCATTGCGGGCGACCAGTGAGCCAATGAAATTTCTAGTGAGGTCATATACACTCTCCACGACATCTAGTTCAGCGCTTTTCTTCTTCTAAACCATAAAAATGACAAAACGCAAAACCTACAGTCTCCGCAACCAATTTGGAGACGTAAGTGTTAACTATTTTCAATCGATGCGCCGCTTGGCGCACAGATTATCCTGAAATCTTGAAGACTATTTAATCCACTAAAGAATGTAGGCATTTGCGTCCCAGGAAGCCTGAGATTCCCACAGCCTGATGGCGCATGCAGATTTTGTGCACCAATTTCTTTGTCGCCATTGAATATGGCCCCAAAGTGCAAAACAAAGTCCCCTACGTGTCTCGCTAGAATACAACAATATAAAATATGAAACAAGATACGTTACACATACCACGGAATGTGGCAAATAACGCTGTATGTCTTATGATATTGTAGGCAGGATCCGTTATTTGTGACAAGAACAAGCAGCACCCATACGCGGTCCCTCTTGCCCTTCGGATTCGACTTATACCAACCATAATTTAGTCATCGCCCCAGTCCGCCTCTTGATGCCAAGGTACTGTGAAATGCACTCATCATTATATAACTAATGTTATTGTGCCAGTTGGTGACGTTACCCAGGCACCCGCGACTCTTGAGGAGCGTTTTGCATAAATCCCATCACCCCATTCAGTTCAATCCTTCTGGGCTAGCCGCATCTCAGGTTAGTACTTCAAACATGGTACTCGAGCGGTCCAAAGCGATGAGCACAACTGCATTAACCATTTCTTGTGCCTGAGAGTACAATGTATGCTCGATTACAATATAACTTTTTACCTTTCAATACAATTTTACCGTGTAAACTCGAATTCAAGTTCAATTTCAAATTGCATGATCCTACAACAGGCATACCCTGACGTCCTCTGCCTATTCATACACATGAAAACCTGCTGGTATCAGTGCCATCATTACCCAGCCAGAGCCCCTGGAACCCTGAACCGCACAAGCTTAAAGTACTGACGCCACACCCCGGAGCCCCAACCACAATTTTGGAAGTGCTGTGCCCCTCAGGCTCCGTAGCCCAAGGCCATAATCCTGCTCGGCCATATGGTCCTGAACGAGAGCACATTACTTCCCATGCCACTTTGCTGCAATCCCTACATTTGTTCATTTTATTTTGAGTCCTATACAATTGCTACAACAAACATCATTAGAAGACGATGTTTCAGCGATGCCAGCTGCGATACCATTTGAAACTAATTGGTACCGCCGCACCAACAATTATGCCATCAAATAACTGTGATGGCGCCACTTTCTGTCAAAGGCATCGCAGTTGGCATCGCAACATGGTGTTTTCTTATTGTGAATCTGCTATCCAATGGACGGAATAAATTTTTGGTAGCACTGTCCTGTTCCTCATTTGGGCCGGAGTCCTCCAAGAACTGTGTGCGTGAGCAGAACTGCTAGGGGGCCTTGCGCCCCGAGCTCCAAGGCCACAGCCACGCGCGACCAACAGCTGCCTGCTCAAACGAAAACGTTGATGAAGGGCTTGCAGGGGCGAGGGGCGGGGAAACCCTGAGTGGGCCCCGCAGGCCAGATTTGTGCGACGACGGATTACACCGGAGCAAAACGTCTCATGGGGCTGTGGCGGCAATGTAAACTGAACGATATGGGAGGTGAAGCGCAAGCAAATGGGTGCCCGCGTGTCCAGTAACGAGCACTATTCCGAACGAAACCGCGTTTGAGCGACAGGGCGCAGCCCCATACAAGGTTATTCACTAATATCATTTCCCCATTAATTCCAAAACAGTGCATCGCCCCGCGTGATGTGAAGCCGGCCCCTTGCCCCAATGCCGTCAGCCCAAGCTCTCCACTAGAGTCCCAATCTCTGGGGACGTCCCCGGATTTTCCCGGGGACGGGGTGTGGGGACGTCACCGACCTGGGTTGGGGACGTCGCCACCTAGAGGACGGTTTCCGTCCCCAGAGTCCCCGCCACTGGACGTCACCAGGCGTCCCCGAAATCCGTCCCCGCCTGGCAGAGGCCTCACGTCCCCGGCATCCCCATAACCCCACGTCGCCAGGCGTCGCCGAATTTTGTGGCTCGGTGGCCACCAGCGAAGCGTCCCCGCGTCCCCACGTCCCCACCAAGGTTGCGGGCCTCAAGGGCCCCCCAGGGGGGGCGGGGGGACGTGCGTCCCCGCGTCTCCACGTCCCCACCGGGGTTGTGGGCCTCAAGGGCCCCCTAGGGGGGGCGGGGGGACGTGCGTCCCCGCGTCCCCGCGTCCCCACGTCCCCACCGGGGTTGCGGGCCTCAAGGGCCCCCTGGGGGGGGCGGGGGGACGTGCGTCCCTGCGTCCCCGCGTCCCCACGTCCCCACCGGGGTGGCGGGCCTCAAGGGCCCCCAGGGGGGTGGGGGGACGTGCGTCCCCGCGTCCCCACGTCCCAACCGGGGTTGCGGGCCTCAAGGGCCACCCAGGGGGTGGGGGGACGTGCCCACGGGCCCGGTGGGGACACGGGGACGCGGGGACGCACGTTCCCCCGCCCCCCCGGGGGGGCCCTTGAGGCCCCTGGCTTCAGTGGGGACGCCCGGCGACGTGGGGCCATGGGGACGCGGGGGACGGCATTGTGCCATCGGGCTGTGACGCATTCTGGGGACGCCTGGGGACGTGGGTGTTTGGGGATGCTGGGAACGGTATCACTTTGCGCGCTGGGGATGGAAGTCGGGGACGGGCCCCGCTTGCCCTGCTCTTTTGGGGGCGTCCCCGGGGACGTCCCCGCCATCCCTGGGGACGTCCCCAGAGGTTGGGCCTTTTCTCTATTTACGGGCCTATGATCAGGAGGGCAGCACCCATGGCCTTTCAGCCACAAACTTCAACCACGATGGACGACAACGGACTACAGGGCGACCGCCACCGCTGGCAGAAAAGCCATTCTTTGCGATGCCAACTTTATGCCATCTCTGTGATGTTGCAACTCAGAGTCAGGAAGGCATCAGAGTTGACTCTGAGTTGCAACATCACAGAGATGGCATAAAGGCAACCGTGATGGCGACAATTAATTGCCACTAATATTAGTGGCAAATGGCAACGCAGAAACCATCACATTAGTACCACTTTCTTCTGGCGCAAATGCGTTTGATCTGTGCCTGCACCTACACCTCCCGCCCCACGCTCATCCACCTCTTTATAGACCGAGCGATCGTCGGGTCGCTTAGGTCGTCCTAGGCAATTTAAACCTTCTTCGACACCCCCTGCGCTGACCTCCATCTGATCATCCCAAGGTTGGCTTTCATACAGATCCTCTACGTCGACGCGAGGCGACAGGACGTTGACGGCAACGTCGCCATGGCCATTCCGGAATGGCTTGCCCGCAAACACCGTCTTCACCGACAGCGCCACCACGGTCAGCACTGTACCCGTTTAGGCCCCCGACGTGCCGTCCGACGACTTTATCTTCTTCCACTGTGTTGTGGACACCGGCTGGGCCTGTGGCGTTGAAGCTTCCTTCATGAGGGCCACGTCCGACCCTCCCAGCCGCAAAGGGTCTCTGCTCGCCTGCCTCTCGGCGTCGCCCCTGGCAGTGTCCCGCAGGTCCTCCGCACGCTGCCCCATGCCCTCCATGCTCCTGGAGAGGGGTCCGTGCCAGTCGTGAACGGATCCCTGCTGCCCCTGCTCCGTGCATTGGAGCAATACTTGCGTCCCTCACATGGAATCCGATTCATCCTTCCAAAACGGGCCCGGTCAGACTTGGTGGGCGTGACTGAAGGGGCACAGGTGCTAACGCGGCAAACGGCAGGTGGCTGGGCAGGGGCGGAACAGCGGCCTGTGACGGAGGAGGTCAAGGGGAAGAGAAGGGCTCATCGGTGTGAGGTCTGCACACTTGTGCGTGACCGCTCCTAACTGACCACAGGTGTGTGCGGAGTGCAGCCTTGTACCACAGCAAAAGTCAGCAAGACCAGGCTCCAGGGCAAGGCTCGCCACACCAAAGGGAGCGCAGTGTTGATCGAGCTGCACTCGACGGCGTCAGAATGCAGCCACAATGGGCACCTGTCAGGGCGGTGTTTTGGCACCACCGAGGGGCAGCTTCAACTTGCACCCGTGAGCGTCAGATTCGTACCACTGCCATCGCATCCATCCATCCGCTGACTTTTAGGCCACCGCCAGGACCCGAGATTGCGCCGGAAAACCCAGCCTCAAGCACAGGCGTGTGCCGTGAGCCATGTGCGTGGCAGTGACACCCACCCACCTACCAACGAACGCCCTCGAGCGCTCCAGGCACCACTATGCGGGAGTGGCGTTCCCATGGAGTTCCAAGTCAGGCGTCCTCACAGCGGCCTCACTTCTTGTGCAACCCTCCTCACAACTAGAGAGTGTTATGAGAGAAAAACGACGTGGATTTTCAGAAAACGCAATCCGCCCTCGCTTACTTGCGTCATGAGCCTGTAATATGAGAATCGAAAATCTCGCTGGTGAGGACCCTTGACGATGTTGAAGCTGCGCATCACAGTGTGTTTGCAGCACAGTGCTACGTATACTGCCACCCATTGCTGGGACCTCGGCGTCGCCAGGCCGCGAGGAAGCCTCCCCATAAAATGGTTTCTGCAAATATTTGAGGCCTGGATGGCCTGAGGTTGCCGGCATCGCTGAAACAGAAGGCAAACGACTTCATCTGATGCAGACTCTGCAGGAAGACGAGCAGCAACATAGGCTAGCCTGACGCTGCACGAAACACCTGCTTCGTTACAAAGAAAATGCAACCCAAATACAAAATACACATTACTGCACTATGAGATTGTACACAACAGACCATTTGCCACCAACTATTACTCGGATTGACAACACAGAGTCACACCAGGCCTCCCCATTCAGACTACCATACGCAGCTGTCTTTGTCTTGTGCTCGTACAAGTCCAATACACCATACCAACAACGCATGCACACACCATACGGACGCAAAAGCTCGTCATGCAAATGGCGGCAAACCTACTCATAACCCCAAAACCATTTGTTCCATCCACTTCAAGCAGTGGCTGTTTGTGACTCACGAGTTGTCTTATGGTGGCACCACTTCCCAACGCCAACACCTCCAACCCATCCGCCACACTACGGAGCCTGCCCCAACCACAAGCGTTGCATGCTGAAGCGCAATCACTAATGTTGTTTTCTGCAGATTATGCAGACTATGCGAACGGCCGAACGATTATGCAGGGCCTATGAGAGGCCTTTTATCTGGAGCTCCCTCTCTGCAATCTCGCTCAGCTGCTCTCCTGTCTGTCCTTAAGGACAGACTGCCAGGTCCACCGTCTGGCATCGGATCTCATAGAGGGGTGTTTTGCGGCGCCACCAATTGGCGATTCTTGCCGCTGGGCATTCCATTGGTGGTGCGGGCAGCGAGGACAGATCCTTGCCATTGAGGCGATCAGGGCAGTGCCATGAAATTGGAAGGGGGGCTACAGTTGCCCGTGAGCCAGAGAGAGGCACCAAGTTGTTCAACCACGCTGCATCTATGAGCTTTGCTTGACACTCAAACTTATAGACCTGCACAGCCAGCAGCATTCGAACAGCCACAATCAGAATAGCATCAATCTGCCCATTAAAAGCAAGAAAAGCCTCTTTCTGCAACTTGTGACGTAGACAACGGCACAAGCTTACCATTTCACGCAATATGATCCCGTTCAAACGATGCTCGAGTGCTGCCAACATTTACTAGTGATTCACCACGCAGTGACAAAGAACTGAATCGTGCAATCGTGCCTCTAATTATATTTGGGCCAGGCTTTGTCGCCCACTCGAATCTGCACATTTACAAGGAGTCAAATGCTGTATGAAGTCACTTCAGACATCTCTCATGACTGCAAAGGAGCACAACAATTTTATGCCGAGTTGTTGAAAGCAGGATCTGGTGTGCTCTCGTGTATTGCAGGATGTGGGGAAAAGCAAGTAGAAGTTCTGCAGGGAAGAGTGCAGGGGTATCAATGGTGTGGCAGCACAACTACAGATGCCATTGGACTGGCTGCCAACAAACAACATCTTGGTTTGTCATGCGTTGTTGTGTTTTGGGAGCTGGTGATGTATGTGAGCTGCCCATCGCTCTATCTATCTTTCATCAACTGCTGGCTTGTGACTGTGGCCTTCAATGCACAAGAGAATGTTCCCAAAAGAATGGAACTTCAGATCACCCTTTCTGTTGAGAAATAAGCAGGAACTGTTTCCTGCCAACAGGGCCTCACTGGACTGCGCCATAGTGCCTATTTCAATCCAAACCATGCTGCCATCCACTTCCTGCAAACCCAGGGCCCTGGGGGTGCCAAGCACTGCCTGGGAAGCATTTGGCATGCAGAGCAAGGGGAAGAATATCTCAAGAGAACAAAGCTGTTTAATAGCTTAAGCACCCAACTAATGCTGCAGTCATTTCACTGAAACCGTGGTCTTTGTGCAGAAGTTCTCAAGCTAGTAATTGTTGTTAGTCCACCCTAGCTACAGAATCAAAGGAATAGAGGGCAGTTCGCAGATGACATGCAGTGTGTACATAAGCAGAGAGCTGTTCATCCATCACATACCTCCTGCATCGACTTCCAGCCTGGCGGCACGCAGCCTTGCCCACAGCACCTCAAACTGTTCAGTCAGGTTGCACAACTTCCAGTCATATTCGATGCTCTGCTGATTGATCTTGAACTGATGTCACCATCTCACGGCCAGGAAGACATCACATTGGGCCAATACAGGGTCGGGGAATAGTGAAATCATTAGGTTAGCTGGCAACAATGAGCAGCGGATGAAGCAATGGTTGCCCAGGACACTGCTGTGTGGTAGTGAAGATAATGGCAGGTGCAGCTTGCTGGCAAACATGTGCATTAAGCAAAGATTGGTAGTGTGATGAGGATGCCCTACATGGACGAGGACATGTGGCACCTCTGGCATAGACTTGATGGCATGGACAACTGGAATGACATCACAATGACCTGGGATCCAATGCGTTTCTGCACAACTGACATGGGTGTATCTTACAAGCCATCCTTTACAGATCGCCATATGCACCTGACGGCGGCCATGAGCGACAGTGTGTCACCACCAGTCAGCGCCACCTAATAGCAAAATTGGCATTGGTGATGACACAACAGACAGGTGCTCTTTGCACCGCAGAGTGGATAGACAGCACAGGTGGCTTGCCATGGACACATTCTGTTGGGATTGGGCAGACATAGGAGATCGATTCGTTTACAACACAGCACTGCAAGCCTCTCACCTGCCTTCTCCAGGCCTCTGCTTTTGTACATGTGTATGAACAACCCAGGCAACATCTGGAAATCGCGATGGAAATCCAGCAACATTGATGGGCCTTGCTGCAACGAGTTCGTTGAGGTACTGACTGTCAATGCTGCTACAGTAATTGCACATCAACATTTCACTGGCATTTTTGCCCATGATGCCATTGATGCTAATGGGGCATGAATTCAGATACCCCATCAATCGCCATGTTCATAAAAATAACAGCCATTGTTGCCTATAAGACGTTGGTGCATAGGCATTGCAGCAACATTGCCAGGCAGTGCATCAACACACTCGTTGCAGCAGGGCCTATCAATGGTGCTGCAACTCCACCCCGATTACTGGATGAATCTGGAGAAGACACCACAGCATTGAGGGGATCTCAAAAAGTCTGAGAACACCACAGTCACCTGAGAAAGTTGATGTGGAGGAAACAACCAGAGATGGTGTAAATAGTGCAAGCGACAGAGACGGCTCATTTGGGTGCCAAAGGCAATGCCAACAGCACGCTTCAACCCACCTTCTTTGGTTCCTCCTTCTGCAATGCTGAGTTGGGGTTTTGACTGATGGGCAAACCAATCGAAGCCATTCGAGCTCCAGCCTGAACAAACAGATTGACTAAAGCAAGAAATTAGAGGTGCAAAATGCAATGGACGAAGTGCAAGAGTGACAAGATTGGCTCAATAGCACTTTTATGGCGATGCCAGCAACATGGATCAACCCACCTTCCTTGTGTCCTCTATCTGTGGGACTGAGCTGGCAGCTTGGTTGATGTCTAAACCATTCAAAGCCGTTGGAGATCCAGCCTGAGAAAAAAGATAGAGGTGAGGAAAATGATGTTGAGGAAGCAAAGAGATGGTTGAAACAGTGTGAGTCATGCACACAGTCCAAGTTGAGTGCCCATGGCAATGTCAACAACATGCTTCCACCCACCTTGCTTGTTTCCTCCCTCTGCAAGGCTGAGCCGGAGGTTTGGCTGATGCGCAGACGAGTCGAAGCCATTCGAACTCCAGCCTGAGAAAATGAATAGAATTGAGGAAGACTCTGTTGAGGAACGGAGGTACATGGGTAGACACAAGATTGTGTCGATTCTAATGCCGGAAATCAGCCTCCACCCACCTTTCTTGCTTTTTCCCTCAGCTGCAATGAGTTGACGGTTTGACTGAAGCTTATACCATTCGAAGCCATTGCAGATCCAGACTGTGCGAAAAGTCTTGCCCCAGTCGTAGCCATTGAAGATCCAGACTGTCGAAAACATCAACTTTGAAAAAGAACGTTACGGAATGTAAAACCACTAACAAAGCACTGGTAGCAATGCAGACAGGCTCAATTGGGTGTTGAAGGCTATGCCAACAACATGCCTGCACTCACCCTCTCCGCTGCCTCCCTCTGTTGGGCCAGACTGCGTTACTTGACCCCACTTCTTCCTCGCCCGATTCTCTGCCTCATACTTTCCACTCTCGGGAGGTACAGGCTTCGGTGTGTCAGGCCTAACCGTTGGATCAAGCTCTGGCTTGGTCTGAGAGACTTGAGAGGCCCGCTTGCGGCATTCCATGTGCTGGTCCACGCAGACGGATATCTGTGGATACCCCAGCCCAGCACCTGCGACTACAGGAACCCACCAGACGTTACCTGGGATTGGGGTAGTTGGGGGTGGTTACTGACGGCGTGTACAGCCACCGGGCTGGAGGGTGCCCTTACGGGTCTATACCCCACATTCTCAGGGGAAGTGGGACTGGGCTTGGACGTGCACACCTCCCGGGTATCCCGTTTGCGCTTCCGAAGCCACCGGTAGAGGTTCGCTGCCGTACCGCTCCTGTATTTTCTCACCTTCGTACCCTGAAGGAAAAGAAAAAATTCGATTCGAGGGAGGTGTCAAGCAACGAAACATGTGGACAAATCCGTACGATCGACGCGGACACGCTCCTTCGACTTTGGATGCCAATAGCGTCAGCACGGTTCCACTCACCCGGCCATCCTCCAGCCTGGGGAGGCAGAGCATGGTGGTGGGGCCCATCTGTCGGATGGACTGTCACGTTTGTCTGGGACCGGTACAAAACCTGCGGGAATTTGTTCTGTGCTGCCTGGGTCTGGGCTGCTGGAAGGCTGTGAGTTCTGGAATATGCCTGCTGGCTGGTCTCCAAATGGTACGCCGGCCTTTGTGTAAACCCCGTGGGGGCCTGCAAGTGAGGAGAGGGCTGGGCTCGGTATTCCGTGCCATCCGTGCGGGGGTAGGCTATGCCTGGGTATCGGTCCGACATCAGCTCACGAGGGGCTAGCCGAGTCGAGCAAGGGGGGATGCATTAAGATGCCCCAGGAGGAGGGATTATGGGCGGGTGTTCGCGCCATGACCGGAGAAAGCAATACGGCGATTGAGCAAAATCATCGCTGACTTGACGTGCGCTTGCTGGCGAGTGGGGAACAACTGCCTGCTCATGAGAAGGAATGCTGCAAAGCTCTAACTGTGAAGAAGTGAATGGCGCCGAGCCTGGGGTCCGAGAGGGTCACAAATCGGTTGATCTGGAATGCACACGGTCAATAGTTAATCACGCCAGAACAGTTCGACCGTAGATTAAGATTCCACCAGTAGACCGGCGTTATGATGTCTTGCAGCTTGCTTCCGTCTTCCAGAGGCTGGACGGCAAGAAACATGTCATTCGTCTGTGTTAGTTACAAGAAGGGCAAGACTCACTGGTAGCAAATGGCAAGTTTGCGATGCCAAGCGCGATGCCATTTTGACACAAAATGATCCCATCACAGTGATTGCGATGGCGTAAAAAGTGACTGTGATGGCATCAATTTGTGCCAAAACGGCATCGCAAGCATGCTGTTTTCTACTAGTGACTGGCCTGGCTGCGATGCTGCCATTCTGGGCCATCACCCTGAATATTCTCTCACACGGGGTACTTTGCACGCACTCACCAGCCACGGGCTCCATACTCGTGCCAGCAACATTCCGATCATGGAATGTCACACTGACTTCGTCCCCACACTCACACATGCACAGCACAGCATAGCAACCACTCAAGCACATCCCTCAGGAACACAACATTGCAACGCGCCTATGGCACCCAGCGCTTCTCAACGTTAGCAAGTTATTTCAGACCTACGCAAACAGCAACTGCCCCGCGCCGCTGCCCGTTGCATCCCCCCAACCTCCCCGGCCACACAACCACCCACCCACCACTTTATGCGACCTGTCCCAAATGCATGCATTGGGTCTCTAGTCCGAATCAATTGCCATTAAGCCCGCGTTGGATGCAAAGAAGGGATATGGCCAAGTCATTCCAAACGGTTTCGGGAAGGGAGTTTGTCCAGGCCTCCGCATTGGGAATGTCGTGCAGCTGCCGTCCTCCCGATACCATCATGGTACGTGACGGGGGCCAGGCAGTCACAACCACCACCAGGTCCCTTAGATCGGACATTGGGGCGTCTCGTGGGAGCTGCGACTCGCGCGTTTGGACGCCCGGCAGAACGAGGGTGACGTGGACGGTGGGGCCAGCCCCCGGCCTCTTGGAAGGCTGCGCCGGTGCCACGTTGTCTATCCGCCCTGCATCCACGACTTATGGATGCCGCTCAAGCAGGTGCACCTGGACACACGGCACTCGCCCAACAAGAATTAGACGGCATCAACTCTGCAATGAATTCCTCCCCGTAGTTGCGAAGCAGGCACTCGCATAAACTGGCCAGCTCAAGCGAACTTGGTCCATGTTGCAACTGAGCCAAAATTTTGAAGTTCGCGCGTTGTGATGCATTCCATTGCAGGATTTCGTGATGCTGCCGCCGCACCACGCAATGCGCCTGTTGCTCTGCACCTGGCCCCATATGACCTTGTGAAGTTGAAACCAGTATGTCAAGCTGCAACGAATGACACGAGGTCGACCCAGCGTTGCCACAATCCACTGGGAGCAGTTGTTACTTGGCTCAAAAGGAACGAGGGGCGAGTACCTCGCCATGATTGAAGCTCTGCTCTTGGGAATCAATCTGCAAAGCTATATTTAGTTTATAGTCATATATATTACTATGTGTTAGTCAAATACACGCAAAGGACACTTTTGAAAATTTTGGTGAGGAAGGCCTCTTGCAAGACACGGCTGAATAGCATATGGCAGACACAAGAAAAATTCACAAGCCCTAGCCTCGCAATCATGAGATGGATCCCGGCACTGTCGCATTCAAAAACAGCGAATCCCACAATGTTTGTGCTTCCCTACCAGCATCCTGCCTATGCAAGGCCCCCACCTGAACGCCGTCGGTTGATCCAGCAGACCCACATGACATTTGGCAAGAGATCACGCTGGCAGGGTGAGTGTTGATGCCTTGGGGCTCCGCCTGGGGATGATCCGTCACCTGTGGAGCAGGAGGGGGGTGGACTTGTTGAGGCTCTGCCTGGGGGTGGTCTGCCACCTGTGCCTCATATGGCACCCGCGGAATATTGTGCGCAGCAGCTGGGACTGCCTGAGGGTTTTGTGGATTGTGGCGATTGACAGGTTAAGCACGTCGCCCTGAAGAATCATGCGCACAAACATCACTACGGCATTCAAGGGCAGGGCGCTGCTGAATGTGTCAGTGGGCGATATGATGTTCCGTGAAACTTTGAAAGGAAGAAGGCAGGATCTGAAAGGGGGGAGTGCAAGGGCAGGTGTGGGATGCTGCGATGCAGTGGTATGTGTGGTTTGGTGAGGCTGCGCAATGGTGCTTGTTGACTGATTGACTGCTCTGAGGCAACAGTTGTCTCTGGGCAGGCAATCGATTGGCAATTACCATTCCGCCGCCTCACCAAATTTGACATTGGCACCAGCCAACAGCTGCCGACACAACCACGCTGTTACTTGAGTATTGGCGCCTGCTACTGTGAAATGGTGCCATTGTCAAATGCATATGATTGCACATTGGCCTGACGCTTTGACCTATGCGATGTTTTGCAGCAGTAACATCTGAGGCATGAGTAGATCATTCCAGAAGAATGCCAGATGTCAGTTTCAAGAAGGCTAAAAACGGAAATTTGCTTCCAGCTAACAAACGTTCCCAAGAACTGTGCCACAATGCCTTTTAAATTTAATTCCCCCAACCTCTCCACTTCCTGCCACGCCAGGACAGTGCTGAGTATGCAAAGGAGCTCATACATAGGAAAACCGTCTCAAAGCACACATGCTTTTGAAGACAAAATGTGCTAGTTGCATGCATCTATGACAGGCCTTCTGCTGCGCCCAGCCTCCTTTTCTGCTTCTCATTTTCCTCATTCAAGCATATCACCTGCCGTGTGAATTCAGTGATACACTAGGAAAAATAGTGCAAAACAACAAGTGTTTAAACGTGTACAAAGTTTACGGGTTTGTGTTATTTTTGTGTTCTTAGCATGTAGAACTTTGATGAAATGTGTTTTATGTGTGCTCGCAAAAGTGTTATTTGGCCCTTTTTCTCCTAGTGATAGTTCTGTCCTTACCAGTAAGATCTGCTTCCTTCTGCCTGAGCTCTTGCTGCATACGGCTGACCTCTTCTGTGAGTTGCTTGTCCTTCTGCCGAAGGCTGAGCTCCAGTCGACTTATTTGGTCTCTCAACTCATTCGCTTCCCAACTGAGTTGCACAACCTCACCCCTCTCAGAGGTGTCCCCCTCCCTGGGAGCAAGCAGGGGGTCCTTGTCCCTCATTTCTTGCTGCAATCGGTGGACCTCAGTTGTGAACTCTTTGTTTCTCTGCCGTTGCTGCCTATTCTGGTCCCTCAATTCCTCTTCCTTGTGGTGCCATTCCTCATACTTCCTTCTGAGCATTTCCCTCTTCTCCCTGTCTTCTCTGTGGTCAAATCTTGAACCTGGAACAGGCGGGAACAGAAGCTGCTCAGTCACTGCCGAAATCCACATGGTTCCAGCTTCATGCACAGACCATGTTATGTGCTCATCAGATTGTGAGAAAAAATTGACATAGAGCCACAGTGCTGCATAAGGTGTCAGAGAGCACCCTTAGTTATGCTAAGTGTAGAGTTTCAGAATAGCAAATGTGTCAGGGCAGCTGGCAGTAATGGACGATGGGAAAGAATCAACTTAAAGCACTGTTGCACAAGAGCAAAGACTACAATGTGCAAAGACTGCAGACACCAACAGGCATGACAAAACAGGGATCGGCTGAGAACTGTCACCAGTAGAAACCGACATTCTTGCGATGCCAACTGCGACACCACTTGAAAGTAATTGATGCCATCGCATCCACTTTTGTGCCATCGCAGTCACTGAGATGGCATCGCTTTGTGTCGAAATGGAATCGCAAAGATGGTGTTTTCTGATAGTGCGCCTCAGCAGCAGTTGTAAAATAGACAGAAGCTGTATGTGCCAGATGGCAAGCCTGCCCTGAATGCTTCATTCGTGCTGGGGTGGCAGATGTGTCCTGCTGACAAAAAGATAGTGTTGTTATGAAACTGCCTCTCACCTGCTTTCGCAGTTCCTCCACTTGCTTGCTCAGCCCTTCTGACTCCACATTGTGTCCCCGGTGCTTGTACCACTCGGACGATCTGGAGAAGGCACTGCAGAGCCAGGGGAGCCACAGCCCAGTCCAAGACTAAACTGAGGAGATGGAAGAAAATGCGGAGGTAAGGAAAAGAGAAGCACATAGTGCCGTGAGCATGGTGGACATAAGCAGTCGAGTGCTGACAGCAAAGCCAACCTTTTACTGGCACCCACCTGGCTCGGCCGCACTGGGCTTTGGCTTGGGTTGTGGTCTGGGCGACCCACCTCAGCCATCGAATGTCCATTCTCGCACTTCTTGAGTCATTGGTGACGCCACAGTGTGGCCACTTCCATGCCCCTGCATGTCGAGCCCTGGCAGGTACCCCGGTTGCGGTGCCTGCAAATCACGAGAGCCATGTACCTCATAGGGTGCTTGGGAGTTGGGGGGCCTGCAGTATGCAGTCTGCTGCTGGGGGCCATATTGGTAGCTTGAGTGCCCTGCGTGCTCCTGAGGGGCTCTCAAGGGCGCTGAATATCCCGTTCCATCGTTGGGCGTCCCGGTGTAGGGCATGTAGCCAACATGTTGCGGACTGGTCCCTTGACCGGGCACATGCCTGCCCAGTGTGGTGCTGGGAGGCATTCAGGTGGCCCCTGTGTTGCTGGGAGGCACCCGGATATCCCGTTGGGGTGTGTGTCGCATGGGAGGCTCCCTGGTATCCCATACGCTCCTGGGCCCCAGGGTCATACCTTGAGTGCTGCGGATGGTTGTTGACACACGCAGCACCCGGATGTGCCGCTTGGTAGTGCGCAGCAGCGTGGCCCGGCGCGGTGTATTGACCCATGTACAGTTGTGGTTGCGTGTTGTTTTCCACGGGCGTCCAGGAATAGTCCCGGGTACTGGGATGGGCGCGGTAGGGGGTCGGCCCCCCTGCGCTGGCGTCGGGAGGTAGCGCATGAGAGTGGGCCGTCCCTGTTGCTTGCGGGCGATGTCCTGGCAGCTGGCTCGCGCTGGCCTGGACACAGTAGGCGGCCAGCGCTCCTCCGCTGGCGACTGGAGGCGATGGGTAAGCGTGGCCTCCCCGCATTGGCTGTGGAGGATCTGCCGACATCTGCGTTGTCAATGGGATGGAAGGATCACCTGCAGGGAAGCGGACAGGTGTTGCCGACTTCGGCCATCGCGCGAGGGACGCGTGGACGCGGCCGACCGTCGAAGGTGATGGGGAGATGGGGATTTGCACGCGCGCGACTCGCTGGGAGGGACGCGAAAGAACAGGAAGCCATCAATTGGCAGCATGGGTTCGAACCCATCGGGCAGAATTCCTGCAGATGACAGCGAAGTGGTCGTGTCTGCGGGCCACCTTCCCCAATGCCCTCCCCTGGGCCCGACCTCCGACAAAGCGGGGGCCATTGCCGCCCCAGGGCGTCGACACAGGGAGGTCGATTCAAAGGCACGACGCTGCGCTCCCTTCCGGCGGGGGAGCGGACGGCAAGGACCGGCATGCTGTAGGGATTACCGCGAAAGAGGGTACGCGCACGGCACACTCCAGTGCTTCCAAGACTGTAAACTGGGGCCGATGGTAGGGAATGGGTTGGGGAAGAATCTCAGCACTCTCCACAAGCACGCGCAGATCCCTGACGACCGGTGGGTCGCCGCACCTGTGTGTCACCTTCCTACCAACGCGGGGTCGGCACAGGGGCCCCGGAGATCGCGGATCGGCCCCGAACTCGCCTCTCGCCGCGTCGTGCCGACTTCGTAGGTCCGTGTGGGAGTCCCGCGTCCGGGTGTCTCTTCCAGGCCGGCTGGGGCAGGGGGGCAGCGGTCAGCCAGCGGAAAGAGGATGAGAGGGCCTGTATGGCGGAGGGGATTGGGGATTGGAGAGGGCGGCCTTGTGAGACCCCATGAGCAGGCAATGCTTCGGAGTTTGGGACCAATCGTGTCGAAATTCGAGAATTTACGTAAACGCACCGCGGAGGTGGCCGTCAGATCCCCATTTTGCCAGGGCTTCAGCGAAGGGCTAAAATAATGGAATGCACTAATTCGGCACCCACACGCACGGCAAGTACGGCGGCCAGCGTCGCTTTGGAGCAGCCATGTCGACCAAATAATGGTTTTGAAACCATAATTATCGGTCTGGGTTCCAGCAGACCGACGTGCTAAGGCGAGGATTAATGACGCCCCGGCACGTATCTTTGGATCCAGCAGTGAGATCATTCTCACTGCAGCAGTAGTATTTCAACAGTGAGTTCCTTTTTGGGCGCAATAAGCAGGAAAAGCATCATCACAGAACACCAAAATTAATAAAATACCCAGTAATATGTGGACTTCGGCAAAATTCACAATACGCGAGTTTTAAGACTTTGTTTGGAACAATTACAATAAGCGTCATCTAGAACAGGGAATAAATGGCTGTTACTATAGCAATGTTTGCCGTATGTTTAGATCCATTTCAAGTCCAAAATGAAATTACTTCCTCTGCCCCAAATTAAATGAAACAATCTGTTTGCATGTTCGCATTTTTATCAACCTCTTGTCAGTTTCACATGAAAAAATTTTCAGAGCATCACAGCTCACGTTGGTACACGCTGCCAAAGTTTTGTGAAGAACGGATAAGTATTGGTCAAATGGGTATACTCTGAACGCACAGGATTTTCCCGAAAACGCAAATTTTCTCAGGCTGGCGGCCCACCCCCCCAAAAACGGGCCCCTCAACCAGGTCGCTTTGCGACCGTTGGTGCGCAGCGGAGAGTGGTTACCTGCGGCCACCGCTGTGGCTGTTGGTCGGAGGCGTTCCTCTCGAGGCGCAGAGGGCGCGGTACTAAGTTTCGTACCGCTCGATCGTCGATTGCAACCGTGGATTCGACAGCCCATTCAGCGTTCCAGATTTAGATCAGAAGCCGACAAATCGCCGAACTTCACAATGACGGCGTTCTTGAAAGGGGCTACCACCATAGGTGGGGTGGCCGCAAGTGCTTAGGCCACCGCAAAAGTTTGGAGAGATGCGATTGTCAATTCGCTGCATGACAGCAAAAAGATCGCTGGAAGTGGCTGTGCCTGGCACGGGCCACAAGGGGCACTTCGAGTGCCGTTCAGGCCACTTTGAAAGACGCTGCTGCAAGTGATTTCGGATGCCGTCTTGGGGAACGCAATACCACCATTATGCGCCAGCTGGGGTCTCCGACGGAGCATCCACACCCTCCATCGGTCGTGATTAGTGGGATTGATGCTCTTTTGTTTGTAGGTGTTCCTTGCGCCAAGCATGCCATTGATTGGAGATCGGCAACGAACGGAGAGTGTTCGGTACACGCAGCAGTTCTGCAGCTCGTCTTTAGACATCACCAGGCTTGGTTTTTACGCCGTAAAAAATGATCGTATTTACGTTTTTACGCGTAAAAACAGTTTTTACGTTTTTACCCGTAAAAATGCGTAAAAATACGTAAATACAACGTAAAAACTGCCCGGTGTACATAAGGACAGTACATACAAACTTACGGAGTCCGGAGAGTGGCAGCCAGACGCCCTGGATGGGGCAGAAAACGAGTTTTTGTCAAACACTATCATCGCCCTTGCAAGGGCGAGGTGGACACTGTGTTGCGGGTGCTGGGTATGGCGGAGGACTTACCATTGTACGCAACTTTCATCACGTAATCTGGGCGTCCAAGGGAGCCGTAAAAACGTAAAAATAGCCGTAAAAATAGGGTCTTTTGCAAATTTACGTTTTTACGCGTAAAAACGTAAAAGTAAAAACGTAAACGTAAACGTAAAAACCAAGCCTGGACATCACCAGACCTGTTGGCAATGGTGGATCCCAGATATGTCCTTGCGTCGCCGTGGACGGTGGCGGGGACTTCTGCAAATCCGTGATGGCGAGATGGGCAGCCATGCGCTATCTCTGCCGGTTGTACATCTCGATGGGTGCCGATCGTTGCGATAGAATCTGAGCGAGGCTGGCCCATCTACCCTTCCAGTGCCCTGAAGTCCAGAAGGAGGGGCTGTACTTGTGTATTGGGTCATCTCGGACACTGGAACCTACTTTTTTGGGGGGCGGAGCATGCCTTGGGAGGGGCCAACTTCAGGGCTGGAGTAGTGCATGTTCAATGCGCTTCTAAATGCAGTGTACTAAATCGTTCCCTCTGATTTCTCGGTGGCAACTATTATATGTATAGTGGTTGCTGCAATTGCATTTTCAAGAAAAACAAACGAGTGTTCGATACAAATTCAGGCTCACAGAAAATTGTTTCATTTAATTTGGGACAGACGAAGTAAAGTATAATACACATACTTTCCAAGAATTCTGTTTCCATCCCAATTCGTATTTAACAAGCTTAGGCAAAAGCACCACCCGGGAAAGGGAAATCAAGCTGACCAATCGCAACAACGAACTTGGAATTCTCGATTTTTGCATGTCTCCACGCGGCAAATACAAGTTCTGAATGAGCAGAGTCTGATCGGCGATCTTCTAATCGTCAGACATATCATGATGCGTCTCCTGATATCAGGAATGTAAGGAGCGGCATATGGGCACTGTGTGAAGAGGGTGGCACATCAGGCTGAGGAGAAGAGACCGCGCTAAGATGCACAGGCGATGAGCCAGAAACCTTGAATTTCCGCCACTTGTTGTGGACCACAAATTTGGAATCAGACTTGCAAGTAGGTATCTCGCAACCCCAGAAGATCTACCCCAGATGTCAGAAGCTTGGACAGAAATTACAGGGCTCACGCAGAAGCACATTCGTGGGCACAAGCGACAGAACCCAGCAATGAACCGTACCACGACAATGGAAAAATTGAATGTGTGCCAATGCACCAATGCTTTGCAACATGGTCGAAATGCTCTGAATATTGCATTGCGCTTTGGCAGACCTGTCCCCGGTAGAATTGATAGAGCTGTGGCAGAAATGATGAGACAGAATAAAATTAATGTACAAGGTTATCGATCCCCGCGACCAGAGTTGTTGATTTAATTAGAGCAATGTTTATAAACGGCGTCTGTATAGTGTGTCACTTGAGAGGCCAATTCCAACAGCACCTTGAATGTCCAATAGTCAGGAACAGTCAGCACACTCGCAAAATGTCCCATTTACAGGCACTTTAGCACTTGAACACCACTCTTTACTTTGTATTTCCTAAGAGACAGAATCCCACAGAAGCTAAGATGAAAGGCTCAAACGTCGCCCTCAAGCACCGCGGCTCCACACAGTATGGCGCCAGTCTCGCGTCCCAGCACTCTTGCAATCTATGCGCTCCCAGTGTTGCAAGAATACATATGCCTTCTTCAGCAAGGGAAGAGCACATCCAACAAATGGTCCTTCACGAACTCAGTCCTTCATGGCTTCAGCTTGGATGGCCCCATTTTCAGGGTGGTATCCCCTCTTCTTGTACATGTGCTTGTGCTTTGGCTGCCATCCCTCTCGCCCGTTGGGAAGGATGTCTAGAAACGCCCAGATCTGCTCCGACAATTAGCACATGTCAATTATAGTGGTTCTGTAAGCAGCTCAGGCCCTTTAAAAGTTTTTCAGCATTGAAAATCTGGAAATAATACCATAGACGCAAAAAAGAAACTAGCATTCGAGCTTTGCAAACAGCAGACAACTCGATACACTGGCTTACCATAGCCACGACATATTTCCAAGTGCTGCAAAAAGCTACCTTGTCGCGAGCATTGGATTACCGAATTTGCCACCTGGCAAAGTACTTTGACCGATTCAAAAGTCCAAAACTTGGGGCAATTCACCAGGTCCGCCCCGAGCCCATGTTCGCTTTGCAAGCACCTGGCGATGCTCGCTCGGAAGTGTGAACGCAACAATTCCCTCGTTTCAAGTCACGGCATGAATCACATGCACCAATCATGCGACACATGGCCGTCGCCGCCTTCCGCCACCTGCGCACCTTCAGGCAGCAGGAACAGTTCTTGTGGCCAGCATGCCAGCAGCGCCGGCCATGGGATTCGGAAGGCCGCGACGGCGACGCGGTGTCGTGGGAGCAGAGCTGAAGCCTCAGCGGACCCGGCGGAGGGCGGACGGTGGAGGGAGGCATGGCGAGACTGCCTTTTCCATTGTCGTGACTCTGCTCGTTGCCAAGGATCCGCTTCTAGGTCGGCGGGCCGCCACCCACCCTCTTGTGGCAATGGTGGCCGAATGAGAGCCAGCTATCTGGCGGAATGTGTGCGAACGGTTGGCATTTTGCTACGCTTCCCGCCCACCACTTGGCGCCCCAGGGTCGCGCTTGAAGCTAGGCACCGCAAGCGCAACAGCGCAGAAGGGAAAGGGGCTTATTTTCGCTCGCTCGATCGTGAAGGGACCCCGTCGTCGAAATTGATGCTCTCATAGACGAGTTGGACGCAAGGAAGCAATTTAGACGAGGCTAGAGAGAAATGTGTCCCTCACCGGCGTGAAGACCTCCACGCCCCTGTCTTTGGTGGTGTAGGTGTGGTACACGACGTCGCCCTCCTTGCGGAACACGCTCACACCGGACACCTGCGTCAGCGGCACCTTGGTCCCGCCGCTCATCATGAACGTGTCCTGCACGCGCATGTCCGCGTTGAAGTCGCTGCCCGCGGAGCTGCGCCGAACACCAGGGGGAGTCGGTCAAAATCGGCGACTGGGCCACAGAACGGCTGACTGCCCGCTGAAGAATGGCTTGCCTCCCCTCTCAAGTGGCGCAGAAGACTCAAACCATTCAGTGGCTGCCCCACCGCATGGCGGATGAGGCGCTGGACAAATGATCAGAATGCTCGCTGGACAAAAGGCGGCCAGCGATCACGGCGTCCAACATCAGATTGCCAACAACCGCCGCTTTGGCAGGGAAAGCAACTGGTAACTTCACGCGCGTAGTGGGCCTCACCTGTACATGGGCAGCGTCCAGCCCTTCTGGGCCATGAGGGCCTTGAGGCGGTCGTGCGGCGCCTTGGCTACCACCGCGAAGTTGAACTTGTCCTCGAAGAACGGCGCGTAGGTGTCGTAGCCCTCCGTCCAGAAGCAGCACAGCGGGCAGGCGCCGTCCCACTCGGGGTCGAACATCATGTGGTACACCACCAGGTCCTGCTTGCCGTCCTTGAACAGGCCCGACAGCAGGACGGGCGACCCATCCGCGTCCTGCAGGGCGTAGTCCTTTTCCAGGCGCACCCAGGGCAGCAGGCGCCGCTGTCGGGCCACCTCATCGCGCTGGTGCGTCAGCGCCTTCTCCGCCTTGAGCAGCTCCGCGCGGAGGCGGTCGTGCTCGGCGCGAGTGGCGACCGCGGGTGCCATGTTCCTCAGGCTGCTGTTGATGGCGAGAGCGAAGGTCGATGCGCTGGAATGGAGGCAACGCCGCGCTTTCCCGCCCGACTTGGCGGTTCTTGTGCCTGGGCGGTGCCGCTGATGTAAACGGCTGTGCGCCGGTGTGTCGTGGATTAGCAAGCGCCGTGGGCGTCACGTAGGGTGGTGATGAGGTTGGGTGCGCGTTTGAAACCGTAACACTCTCGAGGGTCACGGCCTGGCATGCGCCCCGCCGATTTCGACGTTGGCACCGGTTCGGTCCGTGCCGGCGGCTGTGCCCGACTGTGCATGTATTTGAGCATGATTTCGATGGCGGTGTCAGCTGGAAATGCGCATGTGTGTGTGGGTGGGCCGCTTGCTCGCATGGAAGACCCCTTCGCATTGTGACAGAGGGGACAGGATGCGCAGAAGACGCGCACAAGTGGCTTCGGTCGCCATCAAGTGTGGATGCCGTTTCTTTTAGAGGAGGCTTCGAGAATGAACGTCTTGTTTCGTAATGATCTGAGATGCTGGTGTGTCCGTCAGAGCCTGGGTGGCTCAGCCACCGGTACATCAAATCGCACCTAAGGCCACCCAATCCAAACTAATCTACGGCAAGATTCGTCCAGAAATGCGGATGAGTGCATGCGCAGCTTGTGGCTCATTTATCCAATTGGCTGAAATAGCAGTAGAATGCACAGGTTGTTGCAGCGGTCCATGTATTTTACTGCTCGCCTCTCTTGTTCTTCGAAATTGAAGCCGTGGACCACTGCTAGTGGACTTCTAGATCCTGGCGCTGCATTGACAAGAGCAAATAGCCTCTCGGTGCAAAATTAAATCCCATCGCAACAACTACATGGGACCGTCCATGAACTGGGCGAAGAAGAGCTTGCCACCGGAAAGATGGCCATTTTGGTAATGTCAAAGACTTCTGTGCAAATGGCATTCGATCGAAAACTTTCATTCCCTCAGCTTGTATGCTCAGCGCCACGGTTTATTGCAATGCGGTTTAAAAATAACGTTCATTTCTTCGTTTGCTGGTCAGCTCTCTCATCTTGAAGTCTTGCGCGCTGAAGTGGCCTCGACGGCGCAGTTCGAATTGCACTAAAAAAAGATGTTGATTTAAATCACCTGAATTGGCAACACAACTTTTCGGTACTTGCAGGCCGGAGGTAGAACGGCACACCAGCAGTAAGCAAGTTGCAAACGGTGCCTCTATGATCAAACGAGGCATCTCTCCATAGTAGTGGTACCGCGAGTAGGCGAAATCTGGCTGAAGATTGGTGGAGGGCGAGCACTCGAAGCCTAACGCGGGCTGTTCGCAAGGAGAAGCGATCATGGCCAATGCTGTCAAGTGTGCGTCAGAACCCTGTGCTCAACATGCTTGCATTTACTTGCGGAACTTCTGGTCCACATTTAATTGTGAATAATCGTGTACAGATCCGATGGTTTGGGAAGCAAATATGTCGCTCATTGACCAGGCTTGTTTTGATGGCACTTGGATCAAGGCGAACAGATAGAAAGCACAAGATGATAAAAGAGTTGCAGCCACTATCAAAATGCGCAATGCTTCGCATTCCCGACGACATCGCCGTCTTCCGCAAGATCGATTTAGCGCTGGACGGCTCCAGTAGAAGTCCTCTTGCGTCCAAGATGAGCAGCCGCTCACTGCCAAACAGCGTAAAACCCGTTTCGGCCTGTCGCTGTTGGGTTGTTTCGATAATTTGCCGCTTGCCTCCCGACGAGTTCATTCTCATCACGCCCGTGTCCCTGTTTCCACAGCGCAGTGGCGATTCAGTCATCCAGCACAGCCCAAAATTCAAGACCTTTGATTTGATAGGATTAGGCGTTAGGAAAATACTATGCCATGCTCTTTTTGGATTTACACATCTGATGTGCTCATTTCGTGAGCATTGTGTCCCCCATGTATTCCCGTCGCTATTTGCTGCTACCTGTCTTTACCTTAATCGAGGGGTGGTATTGACCATTGGCAACGAGTTGAAGCACGTTTAACACGGTCAGAGGTCTGTTTTTCTGGCCACCACAATTGCAGTCAAGCAGGAGGATATATGCGAAAATATTGTTTGGAATCTCGTTCAGAGACTTGGCATGTACTTGGGGTCAAAACCCCTACCTTGCGTCGACCTCGCCGCGTTCTGTGGACTCCACAGAACTCCATACTTGGTTGTCGGACAGCCAACCGCAGCTGACTTGGAAAGCTTGGGATTTGCATCAGGGAATACTCGATGGCGTAATGGCCCGGATACGTGGGAAGCGGCGTCAGTATTGCAGTTTGTGTGAATCCCCTGTCGTGCCTTTCTCTCTGTGCACAGAACCTCTAAATGCATTACATATTGCGGAAGGCATGTGTTCGATGTGTCAAGATGCTGCACGCAATGGCACATAATTTCAATGTGCCGGGTGCCTTGGTCTAGCGAAAGTCAGCAAGTTAAGCCTGTGCACAATAGTCAAAAATGAAGCGATCAAAAGTCTGCACCTTTAGACTAGGGGTAATGATTGATATTGGGCTAGGAGAATATGGAGGACAACAAGGCCATAAGGTAGATGAAACGATTGCAGCTACCTGATAAAATCAAAAGAAACGCTCGACGCAGGCATGATTCTTCGTAACTAGTCCCCACAAAAAAATCAACAAGTCACTTACATTGTGAAAGACGCCCGTCGATACTACGCATATCCGCCCACCAGGCAGCCACCGGCTTTTAGTTCCCATCAGCCCCACGGCCACCACCGGGTTGAAGGTATAGGACAAGAGATGGTGGATAGCCTACAACAAATGCATTCGGTCACTTTGGTGATAAGAATTTAACACTAATTCCAACCATAATTGCACTTGCGTGTACGCAATCCCTGGCTGCACTAGGCGCAGGATAGGTTGTCCTCGACTTCCTCAGAACCAGCCGTGCATAGGGAAACGATCTCGTCTAGCATGCAAAACCGTTTGCTAATGCCAACGTGTTTGATACCAAATGCAAGTGTATCCATGCATTTAGCACTGTTCTCCGATGGCTTCATCAAAAAATCAGAATGGCGATCGCCATTGCGTTGCGGCGCACGTGCTCACAAAAATGTTGACGCCGTGTTCACGGGTACTCCCCGGAAATGTTCAAGGATTGAATGCAATGAAAATCAAGGCCCATGGGACGGCACTATCTTCCACAAGAAATGGAATTATGTGCATTTTTACTTTAGACGCTCACCACGGGCGTGTCGCCCCTCGTGCTCCACTGTTCATCGGGCGCCTCGATAATGGCGGTTGACTGTGACACGCCTTCATGGAAGAGCCAAAGCGTGTGTTCCGCCAAACATACAGCATGGTAATACGCCTGCAGAAAGTAAACTACGACCTACGATTCACAGGACGGTGTTTCAACTCAACATTGTAAATTCACTTTTATAAATGCGGCGGTGCATGATAAGAACGAGGATTCATGAATTTAGTCTTCCTAAAAAGATGTGTTCTGGGTACATTCTTTTCACTTTGAATTTATTCAAAAAGGCAAGTCGTTCATTCTTTTTGCGGTAGACATATCTTGAGGAGGACGCAAATGCGCATGCTGCATGTGAATTCCGTTCATTACAATTGCAAGACTGCATGATAAAATTGAGTCACTGGACTCTGTATAGATGATAACGGGTTGTATCAAAAGATGTTGCGACAGTGTAATATGCGTGGATGTCAGCGTGTCTCTGGAGATGCATAGTCACGTAGATACACACAACTGCGAATGCAGCAACGTACGCGTGAGTTCCAAGACTGCAAACAATGCCCTGAAAGTCCAGCCATTTCTTTTACATGCAAAATTTGCTGTATCAAAACGTAGCGTCCTTTTCAGAGGGATACGCAATTATGGTGATATTGGCAGCTCCCATGGAACTCGGCATTGCAACTTGTCAGCCACAAATCAATACTTTATCTCGCGCTTCCCAAAACTACAGAGATATTCAGAACCTCCTCCCTCATCTATATTGTAGCTATCTATCCCTTGGTTCAACAACATGAAAGCCTGTGATGGTGTGATGATTGTCCTTGATTAATAGGATTGCGATCGAAAGCATTCAAAATATGAACGCCTTTGGATTGCGTGTGGCTTTCCAATGGTGTGCCCAGGCATATAAATTTCGTCTACTTGTGCACGTCGTTGTAATTCAGTGCTAACATGGCGTTGAACTGGTGATGAATGATCACCATCGTGCATTTCAGATAGCTTTTGGTTCTTCAGGGAGTGTTGGTGATAAAATCTTGGCCCTAGAAAAGTTATATATAAAAGGGAGTCACAATGGATATGTATACGGCAGCAATTCATACACATTTTTGGATTTTTGACCGGGCTTTGTTCTGACTGTGCTCTGATTGTGCACTGATCTCTTGTTTTGGTCATTGAGGTGTAAGGAACACATGCTTCTGCTCAATTCATCAAGCAATGTGGCAAAACCTGTCCGGGAAACAACTGAAACAAAGCATGGTGGCGGAAAATACAGATAGGTTCGTAGGCGCATTTGATGAGCTACCACCTATACGACGAACTACTTCAAATGGACCATATCGATGCATCAAAGAAGCCTCATGAAAACACCCTTTGTCCAGCGTTCCATCATGGTAGAGTCACAGGTCAACAATGATTATCCATATCGCGGTCACAGCAATTTGGCACCAGATCCACAGGCGCTGTCATCGCTGGGCATGGGCGGATGCTTTGCCCAGGCACAGCTTTGCGAAGCGCGCAGCTCAGTGGCTTCCCGCAAACCCTGGCAGCCCTAGCCGCGCAGTTGAGATACGGTCAACGGAAAGGCCCGCACGTCAAACTTCTTCCGTTTGACTTTGCCAAACGCCGAATGATTCACCCACCTCGTCTTTTTCAGGCGCCAGATGGCTGGTGTTTGTCGGGTCGTAGTTGCACCAAGAATGTGGCGAAATGCACGGTTGCTGCAAGGAGGACATTCTGGAGGCGCTCCCTTTCCGTGAACTGGCAGGGTCTGTTGACCAGGGA